CTTTCTTTTCCCTCCCTTTCCTATCCCTTCCCTATCCTATCCTATTCCATTCCATTCTATCCTTTTCTGTTCTGTTCCATCCTCTCCTCTCCTCTCCTCTCCTCTCCTCTCCTCTTCCATTCTGTTCTATCCTGTTCTGTTTCATCATATCCTATCCCATCCCATCCCATCCCATCCCATCCCATCCTATCCTATCCTATCCTATCCTAAACTGTGTATTTTTCCACAGTGAGCCAGGGGCCCATGATATGGTACTTAATTCAGGCCCTGTCCTAGAGCAGCCAGCTATATGCAGGGAGCTCCATCAGAAGTAAGTGAGAAGGAGGAATGGGAAATGACCCCTTTCCACAGGCCTTCCCATGGCAGCTCCTTGTCCGCTCTGGATCCTTGGTAAAGGTAGAAAGGGTTTCAAGAGTTTCACCTTGAAAGATGAAGCAACCCAGGAACAGGATGGGCTCGGAGGAATGAATGGATGCTCTGATGTGGGGATCCCAGAAACCACAGGGAGCTACCAGGGACAAGGCACACTGCCTTGCAAGACATTATGAAGTATATGCTATAATGGCTTTTAAGACTTTTACCAGCACTGCCTGGTTGCAGCATGACCATTTGGTACCAGAGTCAGTCACTAAACCTTCCTCATGCGCTAGAAACACCACTAGCTGGACTTCACATAAAGCAGTGGTCATAGCCATATTCCTTCCAAAATATGCTTAAGTGAAAAAAAAGGTGTTGGTGGAGGTCTGCTATTTACCAATTTGCTTTGTAGTGAGAGAATGTGTCAGGGGAGTAGGAGACCTGATACAACGCCAGTCTGCAGTACAGCCACCATTTATGAAGAAGGTATGGTAAGCACTAAGTTAAATGCTATTTGGGATAGGTGAGGAGAACATTCTGTGCTTCAGCCATCAAAGGTATGTCCCTTTTGTAGAGGAAAAGTATATAAAATTCCTTGAAGCAAGCAGGAGCAGATTAATATCTCTGCAGCACAGAACAGGATATCTTGGGTTTCCTGCTCCAAGGGCTGTTTATACAATCATCAACCTGTTGATTGTTATTACCTCTTCAGATCTTGTCTCTCTTAAGTACCAGTTATTCATTTTATACTAAACTGTAATAGATTAAAATTTTGGTGTATTTCTTAGAACAGAATTGGCTCTTAATGTCAGTTGGAAGTAATCTGGGAACCTAGAACTTGTTTTTGTCCAAGAAAATGCCCTAAATATGCTTGTGGCAAATGGGAATGTGGATCTGACCCTCCTTTACACAAAAAAAACATTCAGCAAAAGTTTTCCATACATTGGCAAAAGCTGTCTTCAGCCGTGATTGTGACTTGTGGCTGGGGAAGGTCACGGACGTCGCAGGTGAGAACTGTGCAATTAGCTCTGGATGCGGGTACTGTCTGTGCAGGCACCTGATCGTACGGCCAGAGGCCTCCGTCTCTGCTCCCTGCACAGGAGCATCACGGACACGTGTGTTCAACAGTGTGCATGTGCTGGGTCATTACTTTCCTCTGAACCACATCTCCCTAGCTTGCAAATGTCTTTTGCAGCTTTGTCAAACATGTTACCAAAGCCAAAACAACATCCACTCATCCGAGTTACTCATCGAAGATGAAAGTTTGGTTTGGCAAGATCAGTTCATGATGAATCCATGTTGGCATTTTATACTCTACTGATTACAAAATGATTGGTAAACAATTTGTTCCATTATTTTCCTATATTTCTAAATTAGTCTTATTGACCATTAGTTCCCTGGGTCCTCATGGGTGGGGTGTACAAGGGATGATTTTTGCCTCATTACAGTACTACTTTCCTCTTGTGAGTGACTGAGAAAACAGCTCTCATTATGGGATACGATGGAAGAGAACAGGTTTCTAGATATACTCATAGTAAATGGACTTTTTTAGGAGTAGGGGTAATGGGTCTACCCATTTCCTTAATGATAACAACACTGGATCAGCTATTGCGTTATTATCATTCTTACCTGGATCTGTGCTAACTATTTAAGAGTGTAGTAAGTCATGTCCCAGCGCTCATATCTGTGTTCTGGCATTGCTTAATTTACTGGTAGACATGTACCCAAATGAGAGGGAAGTATATCATAGAGGGAAAAAGTGGTGGAGGTGAACAAGAATAAAACCCGACCCAAACAATAAATACTTTGAATTGTGAAACCAGCCTTTTAACTTAATGCTCATCTTTCATACTAGAAGAAATGCCACCAAAATGAATGAGTCAGAAATGTGCGTTGAAATTGCCACTAAAATGAATGAGTCAGAAGTGTGTGCAGAGATTATTCGGTACCAAAGATTCTGGGACTTGGAATATTAATTATGACAGCAGTTTCCTTACTAAACGAGGACGGGAATGTGAAACCATTGTTAGGTGAGACTAAAATACTGTTTAGTCCCACTGTTGACTGCACAGAAGCCCTGCTTCCCAAAGGTCACAGCAGTGCGCATTGCATGTTATTGATATTAACGGTCATTTCTCTCTGAAAGAGAGTCTGAACAAAAGTTGTTTGCCTGACTTCTGTTTTTGCCTAGGAAATCTTCAGTTTCTCTCATGAACTGTTTCTGCTTATGCTGCTAAAGAATCAAGCTCCCTTCAAGACCTAATGCTAATAAAGTCATAAGGGTGGTGGAAGTTTAGTGAACTGTATTTCATGGTAATAAGAAAGAATTACAATTAATTGGTCAATGAAGAATGAGTAATTTAATGATTGATACAGAAAAAGCAGGTATTAAAAAAATAATTTTGGAAGACACCTCTACTTGTTATTAAATGCAAAGTTTCCAAATGCAGGGACCTTCCACCTTGGCTACCTATTATTGTGAATTAAGCCCTTTTCTCAGACAGTTCTTTTTCATTAGAAAGCAGGTTTGGTTACCTGTATTAATGTTAAGTGCAATCTTATGTAATAAGCAAGATCATTTAATTAAATGAACTACACTTCTTCCATCACTAAGCATTTTACATTAGAATGTGTGTCAGCAAAAGACACAGATTCTAAACCAGAATGGTTCCACTAGAAACTGCTCTGCTTTCCTAATTCCCTTTGAGAACTACATATTTCAAGAAATCCTGTTTGTCTTCTGGTCCTGTTAACAGCACAATAATTTAAAATGTTGATCGAGTTAAGACTAGTTGCATAAACAAGGACTATCCATCTATGCTGAGAATATATGAAACATACGGAACCACAGAACTTCAAACGATGCTCCTTAGATAACATTTTGTGAAAAGAAAGATGTGGGAAACGAATCATTAAATATATCTGGTACCCAACTGCCAAATTTCAATGAAGATCTCCACTGTGTTCTAGATCATTATATGAATAGAATATATACATCCTCCTACAGCTTTTTCCTGTGTAAGTCACAGGACTGTAGCTAGTTCTTCTATATGTGGGAGAGGAAGGATGAAATCTGTTTTTGCAAAAGAAGTAACTAAGGAGGTGGATGTCCAGGAAGGGAAAAGTTGACCTGTTATTTTATTTCAGTTCTGCATTGGCAGGAAGCAGGGCAGTGAGGTTGATGAAGCTATGGGTATATCCAGGAGACTTTGCCAAGGTAGCTGGAATAAACATCTTCAAACTTTCAAAGCTTAGCTGAAAATGAATTGAAACACAAAATTAATCATAAATGGGAAATGAAAACCTGCAGCATTTCCTTTTAGAATAGTTTTTCATCAATATTTCTTTTCTCTGTAAATTTTTCCTTTTTGTTGCCATTTACTCCACAGCAGCATCCAAAACCTTTGACCATACATACAAAATCCTTAGCTCTTTCAAGGAGATTTCTCACTGAATGTGCAAGGTGTTTGGAAGTTTTCTTGCTTTATACTACAGTCCATGATGAGAATTAGGTTAATTCTGTTACAGAAGACATTAGATTGTCATCATGATCCATAAACTGGAGGGTATCTGCATCCCAATGTACACCAGCATTGTCTAACATTTACCCACACGTATAGACTCATTCTTCTTTGGTTTCACTCCACAAATTATCCCACCTAGGCAAAGCACCTAGCACAGTGAAGTGTGGTTCTGTAATAGTGCTTGGTATTTTTTTAAAGCATCAACTTTACCCAAGTCACAATTAAAATACTTAAAACTTACTGCATAATCCGTTCTCACAAGAATTAGGGCAATCACCACAGGGTTCTCCTTTTTTGTAGGGTGTCTGAATTAAACTTTGTATATTCCCCCTGAAACATCAACATTACCAACATAAGCTATGAAGTCACTATAACATATCTGAAAATAAAAATTAATTGTATGGAAGTATACACATGTTAATTTAGGCTCAGTCTTTGGTTACAGGTCAAAAAATTTATATATATATTTTGGGTTTATCTGGAAAGCCCTTGGTGGTCAGGTGTGGGGGGGAAATTTGCTTCTGTGAGAAGACACCAGCAACTGCCCTTATTTCAGACAGTGGTGGCAGTGTCTCTGTGATAACGTATTTAAGAAAGGGTAAAAACTGCTGTGCAACAGCAACCAAAAGAGAGGAGTGAGAATATGTGAGAGAAAAAACTCTGCAGACACAAAAATCAGTGAAAAAGGAGAGGGAGGAGGTGCTCCAGGCACTGGAGTGGAGATTCCCCTGCAGCCCATGGGGAAGACCAGGGTGAACCCTGCTTTTCTCCTACAGCCCATGGTGAAGATCATGGTGAAGCCTACTGTCCTCCTACAGCCCATGGAGGTCGATGGTGGAACAGATATCCACCCTTCAGCCTATGGAGGACCCCATGCCAGAGCAGTGGATGCACCTGAAGGAAGCTGTGACTCCATGGAAAGCCTGAACTGCAGCAGGCTCCTGGCTGGACCTGTGACCCTGTGGGGGACCCATGCTGGAGCAGACTATTCCTGAAGGACTGCACCCTGTGGAATGGACCCACGCTGGAGCAGTTCATGAAGAACTGTAGCCTGTGGGAAGGACCCACATCGAAGTTCATTAAGGACTGTCTCCCATGGGAGGGACCACACTGTAGAGCAGGAGAAGAGTGTGAAGAGAAAGGAGCAGCAGAAACAACATGATGAGCTGATGGCAACCCCCCATTCCTTGCGCTGCTCGTGGGGAGGAGATTGAGAAATTGGGAATAACATTGAGCTTGGGAAGAAGGGAGGAGTGGGCAGAAGGTTTTTTAAGTTTTGGTTTTATTTTCTCATTATCCTATTCTGATTTGATTGGTAATAAACTAATTTCTGCAAGTGAAGTCTGTTTGGCCCGTGACGGTAACTGGTGAGTGATCTCCCTGTCCTCATCGTGACCCACAAGCTTCCTGTGAGTTTTCTCCCACTGTCCTGTTGAGGAGCGGGAGTGATACGATGGCTTGGTGGGCACCTGGCAGTCAGCCAAGGTCAACCCACCACAACATATTACAATGTGAATGTGAGAATTAATTTTAAGCAGTTTATGAAAAGATCACTCTGCCTTAATATTCACAATAATATTTTTTTGTATTAGTTATAACCTTCACTGCACTGTGCATATTGATGAACCAAGATTTCAAGTAGAATTTGGAATATATTTATTTGCGATTTACTATTATGAAAATCGGGATTTTTAAGCAAATGAAATTTAATCTGAAAATTGGTGTCACTTTTATGTGTTTTATGCTTTTCTTGTTTGACAGTTCTTTTGATAAATGTGTTTCTGTCTTTCAATATTCCTAATGCACTCTTCAAACCCATTCCTCAGCTATGGGTGATGTCCCCTATTACGTATTTTGCCGTCTCCTGACTAATTTTGATAATGTAATAAGGAGTTCCAGAATCAGAATCAATACGTACATGGGGCAGTACTGGCAGACATAAAAGTATTTGTATATACTGTTGGGACAGAAAGCGACAGCACATCCAATTTGATAAGAATTGTACCAAACCATCTGTAGGTATAAGAATAAAAATCATTGGAGAACAAAAAACATACATTTGAAAATCATTTAAGTACAACATGCATTACAGAAATATTTGCAACAAGTTAAGTCACTTTATTTAAACTTTATAAGTCCCACCTTCCTGGAAGAACATTTTGTTTCCTGCTTTCACCCCTGAATCAAAGAATATTTAGGACATAATGATAATATTTTTTCACACATAGATATAAAATATTTGAGTTAAACTGTCTCAATTGTATAAGTTTTCATTCCGTTAAAACTATTGAAGAAGATGTAGGGATCACTATGTAAGATTTTGTATCCTGTGTTTCAGGCAGGTGAACAGGGGAAGTTATGATAAACCATTGTCCAACTCCAAACTCTTTGAGCCTCTGGAACTCTGTAGACTGTAACAAACCTATTTATATTTCCTTCCTGGTACTTTAATAACCCTGTTCTTCCAGTGTCTGAGCAACCCTCAGATGTTAGTGTCTGAGCAATTTTCAGATGTTAAGCAAGTAAGTTTCTTCCCTTTGTTTCTTCCTGAAGTTTTGAAATACCAACATCTTTACACTTACTCTGTTCAGACACTTAACCTATTATTTTCATTTTCATTCTGTTACTTTGAAAGTTTTCATCTTGTTTTGTCACAATAACTCTCATGTCTCCATTGTACTTATTCCCTGTAAAGACAATGAGAGTGTAAAAGTTGCTCAGCTAACATACAGATATTTATTTACTTAGCCTGAAATATAAAAAAGTTGCACCTACCTGAGTGTAATGGCCGATCACAGCACCTTGTGTTTTTGCTCCAGTTCCGTATTCGAAGTCTTTCTCCTCATTGTACCAGGCCTGAATAACGACTGACCATGAGAAAGGGGCAGATGACATGAAGAGGTTTTCACCACATAGTACAGCTGAAAAGAGAGAAGTACTGAGAAATGCATAAAAGGTTCATGGTGAGAAAAATACAGCAAAAGGTGGAATGATTCCCAGGGATGTGCTCATCCCAGATAGGGCAGCAGGGTGTTGTTTTTTTTTTTTTTTCCAGTTCAGTGACATCACTCTTTGTCAATACTGAAATTGTCACTTCACCAGTTTGCATCATGGCCTGTTTGTTTGGCTGGTAGTTTGGTTGTTGACAAGACCTTCCTCATGTCTGTAGATACACCTGCACATGTGCACCACAGATTCATGTCCGTAATTTTGCTATTTGACAGTTAGCAACCTAGTCAGTATCCGGGTCACAGCTCAGTAATCACAAACTGTTCACATCAATAACATGCATGACATTATTCAGTTAGTACTCATGCTTCACTTACTGGTTGTCCTCATGTTTGCAGGACTGTGACTTAAAGTACATCGATCAGCCCATTTTTGGGCATTCTTTGCAGCTGGAGGACACCATTCCTTAATGAAAGAAGAAAATATTAGTCATTCAGACATGTACCAATCAATAACCCCTCATGAAGGAACAACATTTGGACATTACACTTCAAGTCAGAAGAAAATCATCTACAAAATCCTTTTCTTTGCCTTTTTTGGGGGTAGAGGGAGTAGGAACAATGTTACTATGCACCCAGCAGAACAGAAACTGTGAAGACTGGTGAAGAATGCATTAGAAAGAATGAACAATGCCGTGGCTCCTCCTCTTCCTTTTCTTTTTCTTCCAAAAGAAAGAGAAATTATTGTTCATACACCACAACATTTTCCAGACCTTTTTTTCCACCTGCCTAGCTTTATGCTTCTCTTGATGCTGGCCATGCTCAATCCTTAGGAAAGGTCTGGAGAGTGAATTTGTGGCTAAATAAAATAGTGTGACCTTGCATACAGTCCTGTCTCTCTCACAGGGTCCATTATTCATTAAAAATAGATTTAGAGCACACAACTTACCATCTTCAACATGTTGCTGGCAGTTGGTTTTACTCCTCTCCTGAGGGTATTATGTCTGTCAACAATCAGCTTTTGCTGGCTTGCTTTGCTAGTTGACAGAGCATCGAAACCGTCAGGTTCCTAAATTGAACGAAGATGTTATATTTCTTTTTTATTGGAATGTAACTAAATCCTGAATCCTGTCTAGGAAGTATTAAAATACCAAAATAACAGTATCAACCAAGGAGATGATCCCTGTGATGAAGGAGGTACTGTGACGTGCTTCGTCTCCTGAGTATCTCTAGGGGTGCTTCCGTGTGGGGTAACAATTTCAGTGGTTCCACAGCATAGAGCTTAGCAGCAGTAACACTGGTTCCTGCGTCATATCTGCCAACCCTCTGTGGATGGCTGAGATATCCTTGCACATCTCATATACCTGTAGACTTAGGCAACAGATTCAGACTTATTTTATTATTATTATAATTTCCTTCATGAGGTTTTGAGGGAATAGGATCTAAAAATCTGTTGAAGACATAAATTATGATGTGTTCCCCTTCTTCAGTTTTTTAAACATGCCTATCAATGTTTTTTTATTGAAGGAACCTGTTGTTTAATCACAGGTTCGTCACAGACCTCTTGTGGTACTTCATCAGGACATCCCGCTGAACAAAAAAGTGTTCTTATGTTTTTCATGCCATAGATTTTCTTAAACTCCTGCCATAACTGTTAGCATTTCTCAAACTTTTAATGTGTTTTCTAATTAAAGAAACGACCAAGTGAAGAACTGGGCTTCCTCTTTACAACCTTTCTTACTCCGACACTTACTATTCTTCTAGACTGCTGCATGAAGTGCAGAAATTGAAGATTAGGGGGAAATATAGTCAAGTCTTCTAATTAAAAAAACGACCAAGAGAAGAACTCGGCTTCCTTTTTACAACCTTTCTTACTATTCTTCTAGACTGCTGCATGAAGTGCAGAAATTGAAGATTAGGGGGAAATATAGTCAAGTCTTTAGTGTTTCTGATGCAGAAGTAGCAAACTTCAAACTTTGGACTATGTATGGGTTGGGAGAAATCACTCTAAGTGTGCACTGAGTATGTTAGTTTAGCTGTTTGAGGGACATCAGTGGTACGTGTTGGGAGGATGGGACAGTAAGCAAAGGGAGAGGCACATAGCTCAGGTTCTGTAGGACAAGAAGGGGAGAGAGTTAGCAACTGCTGCCTGTAAAACTATGGAGAATTAACAGGAAGAGGTGTGAATCTTTGGGAGATCCAGATTACTGGATCTCTGTATGGGAGCGTCTGGAAAATGTAGTTCTCTCTGACCCAAATCATAAGTAACACTGAACCTATGGATGGTTTAGTGTGCAAGGGTGGAACCAGTCTACTGCTTTGAAATTAAAGAGACTTCAAGGATAAATGCTTTCCAGAGCCTAGATATCTGATCAGGCCCTTTCTGCATGTGACCACTGTGCATAAGAAAAGCCATATTCAGTCAGACCACAAGTGCCTCGGGTCTCATGCAAATTTTGTGAGTACAAAGTGCGGATCCTACCTCTCCAGTGGACGGAGTCAGCACAGCTGTGAGACACAGGAACACCACTGGCAGAATCATCTTGGAAAAGGGGAGAATGAGGATTTAATTTATTTTTTACAGAGCTTTCATTTCTCTGAATACATAATGCACCTTTATCCTTTGTATTTCCTGGCTTTTTCTCAAGTAGCAAGGTAATGTTTTCTTTCTCTCCTCCTTCTCTCCTCCTCCCATTTTTAGAAGTGAAAAAACAAAATTTATTCCCCCTCTGCATTTCCAATTTTCTATGAATCAACTGTTTTGTACATGCCATACTTCCTGCTGTAATCCTGGCCAAATACCTTCACTTGAATTCACAGTACGGGAGGACATTTGTGCTTCCCTTCCTGTAGGAAGCCTTCTGCTCATTGCCACACTGTTGAGAAGCTAGATTGGGACACTGCTTTTAGCTTGCTTCTGTTTCTGTGTTAGTCTGAAAATTCCTCTACTGCCCGTCACCTGCTCTGACCGGACTGCATTGGCTGAAAGGGGAATTAGGCACTCAGCCCACTCACCCTCAGACCTCTAGGCTGAGGTGTCCCTTAATTAATGACCAGCACTGCGAAGCCTTGCAGGCAAGCTGGGGCAGAACTGGCTGGACCAGAAATGGACCAGCACTGGCTTCCTGAGGAAGACTTGTTTCAGAAAGCTTTTTTGGTTTTATTTTTTTAAAGATAACTCTTTACTATATTACAGATAGTGGGAGTGGCAACAGAAATGAGAGCCTTCTGTAATTGAAGAAGCAACCACCAGACTCTGGACTCCAAGACTCTACTTGTTTAGGAGGCTCGAAGCACCATATCATCCCACTATGGTGATCCAGGAGGTAATAGGTCACTGAAAAGTTCTTGTGTCTGACTGCAATCAGTCATAGGAGTTACATTCAGCTTGTTTCTGCTTAGCTACTGTGGGCAGGCAAGCAGGTGATTAGGGTGGAATTTACTTATTTTGGTATTTTTCCCAGCCTCCCACTCCAAGGGAATTTATGGGCATGTTTCAACAGAGATATATTATTAGCTTAACTTCCTATTTGTTTTTTTAGTGGCTGTTGGTTTTAGTTTTAATTTATTCTTGGGGAAAGGCCAATAGGATTTGCTGATCTTTCCATATTCAGCAAAGCCCGTTTACCTCAAGGCAACCAGTTTATATAAACACAAGGTGCTTCAGCTTGTGGAGAACATGTGGGTAAGAAAAACTACCCTTTTCCAAATGGAACAGCAAGGACCATTTTCCCCATCAACTTTCTTAGGTTGCACTGGGAGCGACCCACAGTCCCCCGCCTGTAGGCAGGGGTGCTGCTCCAGCTCTGCTAAAGAGCAAAGCCCATTGAAATAGGTTGGGGTTATGGGCAGCTGTAGCTCAGAGCCCAAAAAACTGGACAGGCTGGCCACCTCTGTACAATTAAACTCTCACAACCTCCAAAACAGGGTGGCTTATTCCAAGTACTTATAGTTTAGGAAAGATCTAGTTGATACAGAGGAAAAATATACTGTGAACTATTCTGATAATTAACAGTATAAGTAACTGATGTTCTGTTCTTGGTATTGCCTTATGTGACTTATGTTTAATTTTAACATCACCTATGCCTTCTTGAAGTGCTTTGGGATCACAGAAGCTTTTTCTTACTAACTTTTCTACCGCTTATTTCTCGGACTCGTTACAAAACTTTGCAGTGTATATGACCTAGGTGTTTAGCAATAAAAGATTATACTCCTACTAACATGAAAAATTATACTGTCACTTCACTTCTAACTAGAAGGTAAATAGAGGTGAGAGTTATTTTTATCCGTACTCAAGTTACAAGCAAAAATTTGTCTTTTGAGTGCAAATTGTGATGATATCCAAATAAAAAACAACCCTTTTGCACCTAAAACATGTAAAAACAAATTCTCTTTTTCAATGGTAAATACTCCTCATTGAAATTGTGAAGCTTTCAAGTTTGCAAACTAAACTGAAGAAGCTAACTTAAAGTCTTGGGCAAAGTATTCATTCACTGTAATATTTTCTATGAATTAACTTACAATTAAATATAATTGGTAATTTAATACAAGATACAAGTTTCAAAATGCCATTGGAATGCTTTTTAAGACTGAGTGGGTTTCCTGCTTCAAGATATTAACATGCTTTTGGCAATTCCACTGATTTCAACCAAATGCTTATAGTTTATGAGATGTAAATTTAATTGCTCTGCATTAATTTCTAGGCACTGTTCCTAAAATCAATCTCTCTGTCCCCCTCCCCTCCTCCCCCTCAATCAAACATAAATCAGGACATGTGCCAAGTCTTACTGACTTTTCTGCAACTCCATCTGTGTACAGGGATCTGCCACTGAAAGATGGTGCTTTAAGATCACTAGTTTGTGTGAGTTTAGCAAACTTGTGTGATTATGTTTTTCCCATCTCTCCTCCTAAAAAAATAAAAGGTGTATCCTAAATTATTCACACAACTGAATATCTATTGCAAACAAACATCCCCATTATTTATTATTATTATATGAAAAAGACCTGAAATGGAATAATAGAAGCTGTCATTTCACGTGTAGAGCATTGTTGCACAAAGTCCTGCTTAGCAACCACCTTGCACAAGAGTGGTAAGTTGCACAAAGTGGTAATTTCCCCACTCTGTAAATAAGTGGTGATAGCTACATATAGCAACAGAATATACTGAACTGAATACATATCCAATTCAATATGTTCAGTCTGTCTCTGTCTCTTTCTCTATGTACATATAATCTACCAAGATACTGCTTTCTTGCATGCAGGTGCCTTTTCATCTGTTTTTGATTGTTCATCAATTTTCTCTCCCTTTTTTCAGCTTGTGTTACAGTATTGGCTATGTAATCCTTATTTTTCACTGAATAAATGCTTCTTTTTGTGACTGTCCTAAATTATTCAAGAAGTCTTCTGATAACAGGTTGCATTCTAATACATGAAAAAAATTGCAATACTTTAAGCAAACATGTCAATGTAAATCCTACCTTTTTTTTCCAGGAAGATCAGAAGTTTCTTCTGTGCTTCTTCAGGTGGTTGTGGAAGTGACTGGGGTTCTTCACTTGAGGGTGTTTTATAGCTCTTCTGTTTCCTGATAGGACAAGATGAGTCAGCGTCAGAGGCATTATAAAATTCAAATAGTGACCAGATAGAACAGCACATTTATCAAGTGCACATTATTCTGAGAAGAAGGTTGTTTGCTTGTATTCCATTTTTATTTCTTCTTACTTCTTGTACTGGAAGAGGTGAAATACTCTGAGTTTCGTATGTATTCATCCTTATATGTGAAATTTGCAGTCAATGCGAACGCTAGGTACAAAGGCTCTCTGCTAATGATTGACACATCCAGTTGTAGTTAGACTTGATCTTAATCTCCAGTAATGCAAATAAACTCAGCTGGCTACTGAGGTGTCTCCAGATTGACATTGTTGTAACCAAGATGGAATCTTGCCCATTGATTTTTCCATCGGGGTAAAAAAAGTCTTGGGCCAAGTTCCTGTTCATGCTACGGCTTCTTTACATCAGTCATATAGTGTAAAAGTCAAAGAAGATGACAGGGATATTCCTGTAACTGAAACTTTTACCCAGTATTGGATAAAGATTAAAAGATTATTGTGTGCACTAACATTAAAGCACATATTTGTTTCGGCGTTTCCGGGTACATGGGGTAAGATGAGAATGGGTGCAAATACTGCCAGATCAGAAGGGTATTTGTGTGTACATTGACTGTTTCTGTCCACATTCAGTCTCAAGAAATTGCTGACCAGAGCAGCTGTCATGGTCTGCTTTTATATAAAATGTTATTTTTCTATTTAAATTCAGGTCTTCCTTCCTCATAGTCACTCAACTCCTACACTAGTCCCTTGTGAAGTGTGCCTTCAGAACTCTCTTTTGCTTTTCATTACCTGGGAAACCAGTGTATTGGCTCTACCAGACAAAGTGGTGTGATTTGTTGGTTTGTAATTATATGGAAAGAAACACACTGTCAGCAAGTTTGGGGTTGACACCAAATTGCAGGGAGCAGTCAGTACGCTGAATAATAAGGCTGCTGTTAGGTGAATCTCAAAAAGCTGAAGAAGTGATCTGACAGAAATGATCTGAAAGTGAGCAACTGGGAGAGACCAACGCTCTAGGGAGCAGCTCTAACAAAAAACACTTGAGGGTTGTTGGTGGACAACAAGTTGCATAGGAGCAAATAGTGCTCCCTTGCCAGGGTGAGGGCTAACCATGTACTGCCCCGCTTTAGCTGCTCTGTAGCGAGAGTGCTGAGGACAGTGATTATACCCACTTTCTCAGCACTTCCGAAACTGTGTCTGGACTATTGTGTCCAGTTTTGGAGTCCACAGTAACAAAAAAGACATTAACAAACTGGAGTAAGCCTAGCAAAGGGCCACTATGTTGGCAAGAGGAAAGGCAGAGGTGGACGCTTTTACAACACGGACCTGAGGTAAGGGCCACAGATTGCAACCCTGACTGTCAGATATAAAGAAAACTAAATTTTGCAGTGAGGCTTGTTAAGCACTGAAGCAGATTGACTAGGGAGGTGGTAGATTTTGTACACATGGAGATATTCAAAACTGGACAATGGGCTGAGCAACCTATTCTAACTTTCAAGCTGGCGATGCTTTGAACATGGTGTTAGGCCAGATGAGATTTAGAGGTCCTGTACAACCAAAACTGTTCTAAGCCTGTGTAATTTTTATATTGTTTACACTGGAAAGGCACCAAATGAGACTTGTCTTATTTTAGTTGTTGACAGACATGACAATTTAATTAATTACAGTGGGAACATCTAATTGTTATATGAGAAAGCAAGTGTTACTAGCACAATCATTATAAACATTACTAATGAAAAAGCTTACATTCAGGTGATCAGTGAACCATGGATCCTAAGGTAAAGCCTAGATCCTGTTATGTTCATGTCGTTCATCTCTCTGACACCTCTTGAATCAACTCCCCATTCAAGTGTAAGAGCTGTCTATAAACTTGAGTGATGATTCAGAACAATATCCTATCCCGTAATAACATTTCTGTGAGTAGAGATTTTGTCAT